CGGGATCGCTGTCTCTACCTACTAACCCGTAAAGTAAGTTCGGTGGTGTGAATCGACTGTGACAAAATTCTGTGCTGGAGTAGTGTCCCGTTTCATCTTGGCAGGGTGCTCATTGTTTTAAGTTGAGTCTCAAGGGACACTAGTGCGATCTGAGACTCCATAGGCAAGGACAGGAGTGGTGAATAGTTAATAAATAATAATAATCTGATTAATCAACATTGATTAGAAATTATTATTAAATCATGAATTAGTTCGATAATTTATAATTTATTTGTAAATCACTTCCTTAAATTCGGGTGGTTAATATGAGTAAGAACCTACTCAATATGGACCTAGAGGACAATATAGAAGATGCTGTTGTCTTAATAGTAGAGGAGACTGCAAAGAGTCCAGGTGCGTTAGAAGCCCCAGATTCACCCGAGGCATTTTTAAGCCAATGCAGTCGTCTTGCGATTGCGCAATCACACATTGATTGAATCCAAAAAGTTAATTGGTGGTTACACAATCTCAAATGCAATAGTATTTACATAAAAAGTGCTCCAAAAAACAATAGTCTATTTTCATATCGAATAGTTACACAAAGTTGATGCACTGTTGCACTATCTTAAATCCGACAGTATTTTCATAAAATATTTCTGAGTAAATGTGAAAATGGAAAGTACTCAGGAAGACAGCTGAGTAGTTTTTGTACTTCTCAATCATCGGGTCAAGTAGTGATTAAAGTACTAGATACTCGAATGGCACCAGTATTTGAGTAAAATATTTTGTAATTTGTACTTTTTGCAAATCTCTATTACTCGTCAATCATGGGTTGGAGTTACTGGATACTCCAACCGCGCGAGTATTTGAGTAAAATAATTTGTAATTTGTACTTTTTACTCAGAGTACTTTTTGCCCATCTCTACTATTAATTATCAATTATATGAAATCAATGTCAATCTAAACTTCATATTGATATCATGAAATTCTTAATTGATACCGATTACTATTCTGTTATTAATGACTTTTTATAATCATCGAAACTTAAGAATTTTTACTTATGATGAGAACAATCAAAAATATTAAAAAAACAAATTCAACTTCGAGTGGGTATCACCTACTATAAACATATTCGAAGGTTTTGATTAATTTTTGCGTTAAGTGAAAATTATATAAATATAATCTCTTAAATTTCTAAGTATCCATTGACTTAATAAAAAAAATGTACAGGATCATTTTTACAGATATTTCAAAGTATTGTACTATTGTACTGAACTATATTTGCAATAAACCTCATATTTTTTAGAATTTTTTTAAAAAAATCAGTTTTCTGTCATTCTTCCGTTCTCCCCCATCAAAACCCGACACGGGAAACTTTGGGAACTTCACCAGTTATTATAATTATAGGGAGGTTAATGAACAATTTCTGCTAAGTTTCATATTTGTTTTTGGATGTTTGGGTAATCACTAATTTTAGTGTACGATGAAGGAGGTAGCTCAACCATGTTGAGTCCAAAATACCCTTGCATCCCAGAAAGGGAACTTGAAAATATTTTAATAATTTAAGAACAGAAAATTTAAAATCTACTGTCCGGCATATGTCAACTCGGAACCCTCAGCTTACCACATAGGAGGCCTTAGGTTGGAAACCCTTGTGTAAATATATTTTAAATACAAATAAATATGTTTAATATTTAATAAATACCTGTTTAGATATAATAAATGAAATTTGGTTTAATTGTATTCTCTTAAAATCCAAATTTAACCCTAAAAGTTTAAAATGTGCAATTTCATGCAACCAGAAAAAAATCTGCAATTTAGCCTGAAAAGAAAAGTAGTATTTTTTGTAATATCACATTTCAATATGTTATTGTACTGCTTGTGAAACGGATAGAAAATTGGCTTTGAAGGTTTTATACCTAAGCGAATAAAATGTATAATAACATGAAAATCCCTATTATTCACATATATGAACCATATTTCTAAATTTGATAGCAAAGTAGTTATATTTTTTCACAGTTGTATGAAATATGGTTAACTTCTTTGCATCTTTGGTTTTTTCTTCCTTTTTTTTTTTGGATTTGGCTGCTTAACTATTTGTAGGAAATGAACTCTTAAGAGGAGCTATGAAGATTTATTTATTTTTAATTTTGGCAATCTAGGGACTATATTTACAGGATTGAAATTTATTTACTTTAACTCAAAGTTTCTTTGAAGTTTTGATAGCCTCTCTAAGAGCTTTAACAACTATCACAGTCAACCGTAGCTCTAAAAGTGACAGCAACGATGTTGTAAGGCTCATAGTTGCAAGAAGTGTGAATTTATTCCTCCACATTTTTTACTTTCTATTTTTTTTGGTTCAAACAACAGAAATTTAAAAAAAATTATAGGTAACTCTTAAGGTGTGTACTCACCAGGCAAATCTTTATTCGACAACACATTGGCGAAAAAGATTCACATAGCATAGACGGTTAGCAATCTTTGCGAATGAACCATTGTACGCCTTATTTAATTAATTTTAATCAGCTTTGGTGTTAGCCATCGCCTTTGTTGATGTTCAGCCTTCAGGAGATAAACATCCAAGGATTCACGTTGGCTCCTAGGCTTTATTAGATTGGTTTAAAGAAAATAATAATTTTTCTAATTGTTTATTGCAGGGGTCTTGAACCTATGGCCCATGGGCCAGATCCTCCCCTCAAGCACCTCCAATCCGACCCTTGAAAGTTTATTTGGTTACATGTTAAAATTTTAAAAGTATGTGCAATTTAGCAAACTACACTTCCAAGAGGTTACTACATTTATTTCATTTTTTTTTTTCTCTTAAAAAGCTTATTTCACAACAGAAGTGTCATTTATAGAACGAGGATTTTTCTTTTCATCTCAAGCCATGGCCTGCAGGACTTTGGTGGAGGTCTCAATGCAGCCTGCGGGACTTATTGGAGGTCGCAATGTGACCCACAGGCCAAAAAGTTTGGAGACTCCTGGTCCATTGTGTCTGAACTTGAAAGAGACCGTGATTCAAGCGATTTTTTTTTTTTAACCTCATACTGATTTTAAATTTAAAAAATTATATTTTGTTATTGATTATTATTTCTTAACTCTTTTATCAATTATATCTCAACCGTTGTGATATACCTAATACAATTTAGATAAGTGAAAGAAATACTAAAATAACTACTACTTTCAACAATAATTTTTTCACAAAAGTGTGGAATGTGACCCTTTTCCATATTTTCATTGCCTAACAAATGTCAGGGAGGCTACTGACATCCTGGTAAACCACATCTTGTTTCCCAATTTAAGTGCAAGGGGTAGGGTCATCAGTCATTCTCCCAGTCAGTGTGAGTTGCCTTCAGTAGGCTGACGGGCCTCACATACCCAGGGGAAGGGGAAGAATATCGGGCAGTGTGGCTTTCTCTCGTGGGCGGTCAGCCATCTAAATACTGACCATCCTGAACGTTGTTGCGCATCATTCTTGTTCTCTGTTAAGTGATGAATTAATTTTTTACAATCTTCCTATTGGTATTAATTTTTATGTCTTTTATTTGATAATTACATTTGAAATTAGGTTGTCCAATGAAGTTGGACATTTCTTGACCGAACACCAAGAAGTTTTGATTATTGCTGACAAAGACTGTATTGGTGAGGGTTGCAAACTTGTTTCAGGGGATAATATATATAAATAGTATAATATGAAAATAGGAAATTTCTAATTATGACCTATTGTTGTATGAGTGTATGTATAGTTCTGATATTATTTAATTATGAATTATATAAAAAAATATTGATTTTGAACTTCTATCTTTTATTATATATTTTATGGATTTTAGGGCTTAAATGATTCATGGACTGTGAATTATTAAGAATCAAATAAATTACATTGATACATTAAATATTTTATTTAATCTAAAAATAAATTTTATAAGTTAAATAAAATAATAATTAAATTACTGCTATTGTTAATTCTTGGTACTGTCTCTCTGTTAGCTCTGATCTCATATATAATGCTTCATATTCTTGATCCGCCAATGTTACTTCACTTATACTGCCAGTATCCTTCTTACTGACATATACTGAGGTTCAAGGACAGCAATAAATAAGTTTAGGTTATGGCTGTACAGTCAGGAGGTAACGCGAGGACTTATATTTCTCTCCTTAAAACTGATTGTCCATGGACCAAACCTCTAGGTGGCTATTTGACATCCTAGAAGATCACAACACAATTCCTGATTAAGATACACAGGGTAAAATCATCACTTTATTCCCACTCAGGATGAGTTACCTCCAGTTAGCTGACAGGCTTCACATACTGTGAGGAAGTGTTAATGGCCTAAGGAGTCTCAGCACCAATACTACTTTTGATACTGTATAGCACTGATAATACTTTGATATTTTAATTCAACTTTTGTTTGTAAGCAACTGCATTATTGCTCGGCTCCTAAACCTTATGAAATATATATATGTATATACTTTTCTTTAGTGAATCTTGAAATATAAATATTAATACACTCAGGTGCGCGTACACCAACGCACCCTAATAGACATACACAAAACTGTCCTTTCATGTTTTTAATTTTTTATGTATTACTAATTTAGTTCATCTCACTAAATTTTTATTTTTTATTTAAACCAACTATTTTTTATTTTAATAATTATTCCATATCTTTATTTTTAATCTACATTTATATATAAATAAATTTTATCTTGAAATATCAAGTCAACTTTTATTTATATTCTTAGCTTTTTGTTTTATAATTAACTAATAAAACCTTGAATAATAGCTAAATATTATATAAAATACAATTTGTAACATAAGATATGACTTCCAAATCATTGATTTGCTTATTATCATAATATTTCTTTAGTTTATATTTTACTACTTTTTTTAATATTTATTTTTTGTGATCAATATATTATTAGAAGTTATTGGTCTATCTGGATTGTCAAAACTACTTTTTTTTTTATTACTTAAGACTTTATTTTTAGAATTTATTATTATGATTTCATCATGTCATAATCAGGTGTCATCCAGAGTTGAGACATTCCAGGACCTCTCCTTACCGATCCCTAACAGAGACACCATTTACATTCTCCACCAGAGTTCTGTTAGTCCTGGACCTACTAAATGCTCTCATCTTTACTCTCCAGATCAGAGCTGGCTTTCTTGGTTGTGGGATTGTGTTTGTTATTGGATCTGGGGACCACAAGTTTCATTACACGACTGCCTTTCCGCTTTTTTCTCTGCTGATGAACTCAAGGGAGATAACATGTATAGGTAAATTTTGCTTTTAATGTAATTTAAAAAGTTTATTGTGATTGTAGGTATGTTATTATTTGTACAAATTAATTTGATTGTTTTTGTAAGTATAATTAAATTATTTTATTTTATTAAATATAATAAATTTAATTTGATCAACAATAGATTAAAATGTAAAAGACCAAAAATGCTTCCCAAAACATATTTTCTAATTAAAAACTTTTTCAGCAAGAAAATAATATTTTTATTTTACTTTTTAAAATTTTGGACTTAAAAACTATTTAAAAAAAATTAATTTAAATAAACAACAATCTAAACATCTTCAAATTCAGATAGCAGTACATGTTAAAGATAATGATTAATATGAAGTCCTTTACTCAGTTTATTAATATTCTCTCTACTCTCTATTCTCTCATGTTTTAATATTCTCTCTTTATTTAAGTTTATTTGCCAACCATTTGCCTTGGTAAATTACATACAGTGATGTTAAAAAGTCTTCGAACAAACTAAATTTTTATTAAAATGACAAATATTCTTAATTGTAAACTGATTTAACCTAGCAGACATTGTGGATGTGATATATATTTAAATTAGCATTATTTTCAATCAACAACAAGCCAAGAGACAAATTTGTTGTGTCAAAGTTATTTTCAATGGCTGAATATTGCTGCTACCTTCTTGATTAAATTTCACTACTTTGTTGTCCACTTCAGTCTTTATTCTTTATTGTTAACATCAAGAGCCTTTTTATAAACTCCAGGAAGCTGAATATATCTGTAAAAATTATTCTAATATTGTTATTTTCCGCCTTTTTTTCATTAATTTAATTTAAATTCCATTTTTCATAATTTCTTTTTGTTTTCAGTTTAATGTTACTTTTCTTTCAGAAAATAGTGAAATATATTTTTTACTAACATAAAATTATAATTTTGTATCAACAAGAACTTTCAATTAGAGAAAATCAAAAAGAATTTGAAGGTTCTATTTTTAGAATTCATTATTCCATCAATTTTTTCTTATAAAAACAACCAAAATGGAGACATTAAACATTTAGGCAGATCGATTATACATAATGAAGAGAAGAATAGTTGGGGCGATCAGTCAAATAAGAAGGCGAAATTAAATGATATTTATTTTGACATTTGCCGACGTTTCGACCTGAAGTTCAGGCCTTTATCAGGGCTAAGAAAAGAACCAGATAACAAGGTATGAGAAACATAAGTAGTGTAGGTACAAAAATTGAAGTAAAATGGTTTTGGGGGTGTGTTTCTTGATCTGGAGTTGGAGACTTCTTGAGAATAGATGGAAAACTTAGATGACAAGCAATACCATCTGCTTAATCCCAGATGGTTAATTGGGCAGAACTTTATTTTTCTACAAGATAACGATAAAAAATGTGGATATTTTGTCATTTTTTGAAATAAAAGTAATATTGAATATAAAATAAAAAGAAATTATGAAATATGGAATGTTAAATTAACTTTCCGAAAAAAAAAACAAAGAATTCCAAGATACATACATCTACCTAGAGTTTATACAAAGGCTCTTGATATTAACAATAAAGACTGAAGAGGATAAAAAGCTGTAGTGAAATTTAAATAATAAGGTAACAATATTCGGCTCCTGAAAATAACAGATTGGCCCTTTAGTTTGTTATTAATTAAAACTAATGGTAATTTAAATATATATTAGATCTACAATGTCTGCAAGGTTAAATTAATTTCCAATTAAGAAGATGAAGCACTTTTAAATTGAAGCATTTATCATTTTTATAAAAAATTGGCTTGTTCGAAGACTTACACACCATTTTATGTAAGTATATTATTGAAAAATATATATTTATATTTAAAATACAATTAAATTAAAATACTTTTTTGGGAAAAATTTTCGTATTCAAAATTTTAATTAGTTGTTTTAAAAATTACCTAATTTTCCTTTTCTTTATTAGTTTATTTATTGTAAAATCCATTTTCTTTTTCGAATATTGCACCACATTTAGTTTAGACTGTTCAATAACACTGTTTCAGAATATAAAAGGAATATTATATATTCAGCTAAAATGGCTAGTGATCCTGAAACCTACAAGAAATTAAATGACCTTTTTTTTTTGTTAAAAATATATTTTCCTCATGAAATATGTTTGTAGGAATATCTGTGGTCTTTTAAACCTTAATTTTTTATTAATTAAATTTAAAAATTAAATAAAGGTGCCACTAATAACGAGTAACAAAAATAAAGTTATTTATCTTAAATTATATGTTTTTTTTCTTTTAATATGATTAATATTATTCATATTAATATTTGTTGTAGGATTACTGATTTTGTTTTGTCAAGGTAGCTTGTGTGTTTTTCGAAGAAGTACTGTGATCACTTTAAGAGGAATTTAGAGACAATGGCCAATATTTTTTTAAATTATAATCTAACATAGTTATATTTGATACAATGATGCAGAGCTTCGGCTGGCTCCACTTTTCAGAAGATGATCAGCATAAAAATATTCTTAATGCTCTTTTTCTCGCTTTTATTACTTTGTCACATTGCTTAGTCCACCAGGATCCAGAGTACAGGAGAGCAGAAGCCATTATTTGTGGTGTCGGATGTGGAACTATATGGAATCGCTACCTGTGTCACTTGAAGAAGTTTATTGTTTAATTTAGTAATAAATCGATCAGCATCAGTTTCGGACAGAGCAAGGTCTGCTAGCTGAGCTATCTCTTGAAAAAGAGACCAATCAGCTTTTTTAATCGGCCATTTTTTATGTTTTCTGGGTGAAAAGCATTTATTGAGTAAGTTAATAATGATGGAGAACTAATCGCTGTCGTGTGTGTCGTCTAGTACATACGATTTAGTCGTAGCTTGTAACTGGGGGCTAGTAATTGTTAAATATATTGCTGAAAGTCCTAATATGCATGACATTAATTGAAACAATACATTATACTGCTGATGATTTATATTTGGATCTTATGCTTATAGCAATTAAATAGATTTTTTTGCCCTCTTACTAGCCATACCAATTACTGAAACCCTGGAAAGACTGAATATTGCATACAGACAGACAAAACATTTTAAATGAATAAGGCAGTAGTTAGCCATTAAAAATAGGCATTGTTATACTAAAAATAGGCAGGCATACCTATGAATTACATTCTATAAATAGATTATAGAACAAATTTGAAACACAAACCAAATAAGTTTCTGACACAGCTTTGAGAAAGTATAAGTGATCTTAAGTGACCTACATTTAGGCTGGAAGCAAGACGAGATGAAACTTGGTGAGGTGATGTGATAAAGGGTGACGCAGAGAATGATTCAATCAACTGCACAGGGAGATGAAAAGTTAATAGGCAGTTCCATCACAACTACTTAACTGTGAAGTATTGTTGGAAAATGAGCGAGATGACTGTAATGTATATAGAATCATTAATAAGTTTGGAATAAATAGTGCTGAACTTGAAGACTATAAATTACAATAATACTTCATTAAATGTTTCCAAAAAATTGTTAATTAAAAAAAAAAAGATATGAGCATATATATGAGCAATAAGAATTCATCCTCAAAGAGAGAAAAGCATAATAAAACTGTACAGCTTTTAATTGGTATGGCTTGTGAGAGGGCAAAAAAATCTACGTAATTGCTTTAAGCATAAGATCCAAATATAAATCATCAGTCTTAGAGTATCTCTCTAACAGTCAAGAGCCTAACTAGTGCTTCTCACTATATTTTATTATTTAAACAGTGACTTGAAGACTTTTCCGCTATTTTTTTTCACAATTACCTCGTTTCGTAATAGCACATTAATATTACAATAGAGTTATTTGTGAGGATAATAGGTATATAGTGAAAAAGAAAGAAAAAAGAACGTGATAGAAGCAACTGAGTTGGAGTAGTGAGGATAGCCAACAGCAGCCTAATCCTATCAGCCTTCACCCAAACAAACAGGTGTGCCTTTGTTGTTGTTATTACTTTCGTTTTCTCTCATCCTTTTAAAGAAATTGTGACAGTTATTTAATTATTTTATTTTTTCAATATGGTAAGTTGCCAAATATGCGGAAAAACAGTAGGTTGAGAAGACAAGACCAAATTGGCTTGTGTTACATGTCAAAACATCTTTCATGCTAAATGCATTAAAATAGATTTTACAGAATCAGAAGGCCTAAAAGAAGCCAGTAAAAAATGGAAATGCACCGATTGCGAAACAGGGGTCGTGTACATTGCCAGCCACTGAGCCTAATAGATAGATAGATAGATAGATAGATAGAAAGTAAACTTTATTCTGGGACAAAGTCCCTTATGAATAACAGATATGAACAAAAAAATAAAAACTACATCTGGCCAAAAATTACATTAATCAATATTAAAGAATATATACAGTATCTTCAGTGAAGTTAAATTAAAACAAGTAAAAATAAAATAAAATTTTGAGAAAGAACGAAATAAAAAAAAAAACATTATTTAAATGAAAAAAAAATAAATAAAATAAGCATAGGTTGATTTTTAAAATTAAGACTCAATAAATTTTATCAACCATTCACCTCAGTCAAAATCTGTTTCACAATATTTATTTTATTGTATAACGTCATTTTGGGATGTGAGAAGGGATTGGTAGAGATGATATTTAAATGAGGACAAGGAGGAGGCATGGCGGATTTCAGATGGCAAGGAATTCCAGAAGGCTGTGGATCGGGAAATAAAGGAATATTCAAACGTCTTAGTTCTATGGGAAGGGATATAAAGGTCGGAAACACGGGATCTTGTTTTCTGGGAGTGGACCACGGGTTTAAACTGTAGGAGACTGTAGATGTAAGAAGGGTGTCTGGTGTTGATTGTTTGGAATAGGAAAGATCCGAGGAAATATTGTCTGCTGAAAGAAGGGAAGAGCCACTTTAACTCGTCGTAAAGGTGGGACACATGAGATCGCCTTGATGTACCGAAGACAAATCTTAAGCACGTATTCATGAGTCGCTTCAATCTATCCTCGAGTACCATCGGGATGCCTCCGTACACCACACAGCCGTAG